TGAAATAAACGCCACGAAAAACCTCCTTTGACTCAAAACTCCTCATAACATGCTGCATGAAAGCTGTTGTAAAAAATGCATCTTCCCCACAAAATCAAACAATTTGATTGGTTTATTATATTTCAACAATTTGCATTTTTCAGTTGTAGTATGTTTATGTTTCTTACCTTAATAAAACTTTAACTGTTTCCCATTTTATCACCTTTTGCATAAACGGTGGAACAAATAAAACTGTCATGCACTGAATAAAGCAACTACAGTTTAAAAAAAATACTCACCAACTCCTTTTCACGTTGACTTTCAGGAAATCCCTCCGAGGAACTTTGATGCCTTTTGTGGCAACCAGCCTGAAATGTAAATAATTCATTTACTGCTGAATTAAAAACAGAAGGCAGAGCTAATTGTCAAATTCACAAACGGATCAGCATTTGAAGCTGATCAAAATGACAAGGAACAACATATAAGGTCTTTATTATAATTAATTAACAAACATTATATGTTGAAGTTATCTTTTATTTACTAAAAAATATGTGATTACAGATTAATGTAATGTTAATTACGTTTTGCCTGGAAATGATCAGAAATATATTTTTCTATTGATGCATTAAAACATTTAGTTTGAAAGAATTTGGAAGGGGGAAACATAAAAAAGGTCTATTTTGGTTTTAGATTTTAATCATAATTTCTGATTGATCATATAAAATTATTTTGGGATTTCAACAGCATCCCAAAATAATTTAAATATGTAAAAAAAATCTTTACATATTTAAATAACTACATTTTTTTGTCTCTTTATATTCTAATATCTTGACTTCCACTAATAATTCAAGGAGCTATATCGTCTTTAAGTTAAAAGTTATAATCAAAGCTGGTCAAAAACCTTAAAAAAAATATAAAATGTTCACATTTGAGGAGCACCCGTGGGAATCAAGCTGAGTTTTGTTTTTTTTTAAATCTCTTTAATCTTTAGAAATCTTACATTTGGTGAAGGACACATCAAACCCTGCAGCGCTTTTGTTTTGACTTCAGAGGCGCTGTTTGTGTTTGTCAGCTTTTAAAGATGCACCTGGATGCATCTGTTTATTAAGGACAAAAAAAAAACTAGTAAACTCTGTGCAGCCATTTTGTGTTTAAATCGAACAGGGTACAGATTTAAATGTAAAAAGCGTAGACATATTTTAAATTTATTTTAAAAAAGAAAAGGACAATTTTGCAAAAAGTGACAAAATCATGAACTACTCAATACATTTTCTTTAATAATAATAATAATGTATTGAGTAGTTCATGATTTTGTCACTTTTTGCAAAATTGTCCTTTTCTTTTTAAAAAAATAACGATTATTCTTTTGTAATGACAGAGATTAACGTAGTTTAAATAACTAAAAGAGTTCACCAGTATGAAGTTTTTATTATTCTTTTTTATTTTTTTGTAAGTAGCAATGCAACACATCAACCTCGATAATTTGGAAAAACCTCTCTAAGAATCAGATTTAGTGGAAACGTCACTGGACTGTTGAAGGATTTAAAAGATTTTCACTCACCAGATCGTAGAGAAACATCCTGATCGACGGTTTAAAACAGCCGGGTAGTAAAACATGCTAAAAAATGTTCGAGTACACCAAAAAACATCCAAAACTGATGAAGGTCAGCAGCTTCTGCTCCGAGTTTTACGTTCAAGACAAATGTTTATCTTTTTTTTTTTTTTTTTTTTTATTGGGTTGGGGTTTTTGGAAAAACTCTTCTCCCGGGTGGGAAAATTGAAAAAAA